TGTTCCGCAGTGCTGCCGAATCTCTGAAGGAATCATCCAAGCACATCTCTGCAGGGGAAGGTGAAATCCACTCACATATTGCTGCATTATTCGAGGCCGCCGAAGGAGGGGAGAAAGATGAGATCAAAGCAGTATTTGGGGAAAGCTTCACCCCAACACGAAAGGCTGGCCTTGATATGGTGAACATTGGGAACGGTGAGAAATCCGAAGCCATGTTTCATTATTATTACCAACTAGGTCTTGCTTGAAACAGGTTCCTGGTTTTACGCTGGGTTTGCTCAATCAGCCTCAAAGGGATACGGAATCACATATTCTGTTGGCTTGGATGACATCAAGCTTTCTATTTCCAACAAAAAATCAGCGGCCACGCGTACAAGCGCATACCGACTTGCAGACGCATTCAAACGCACATTGGCGGACATGATGTTTTTGTTCCCAAAGCGATCAGAGGTGTGGGGATACGACTGGAAAGAAAAGTTTGCCAAGAAGAAGAAGGAGGAGTACTATCTCAAGACCATGAAGCAACTGAGCGACGACTACTTGGCCAACCAGGACAAGATTCTGAAAAAGTACAGCGGGCAGCTGAAAAACTGAAGGATGAAATGAGAGAGAGAGATGACTGCAGGGAAAGGGTGGATTGTCACTCGAGGATAAGCATAATAAACTTGGATTTTTTATTCTAACGCAATTCGCTCGGCAGAAGGACTGAACAAGGCAATATCGTCAGTGGAAGACATGTTCAGATGGTCCAGATTTACTGATGAACACTTTGACAGCTCATCAGACTCTTTATCCGAGAAGGGCTCTCGAGTATAAATTACAGCATCTTCAACGCTGAAAGAGTTGGTGTCGAGAGACGTTGTCTCTCCCAAACCATTGGATGACGCGAAAGACAGGCCAACTACAGGCATGGAAGAAAATTCGTCCAGACGAGAAGCCGGCAGCTCACGAATCACTTTAAGTTGAGCGTACATGGGAAGACTGGCGGCGTGCTTTGTGCTTGTATAAAACAAATCTTCGCGCGTGTTTTCAGTCGTGGCGCTCATAGTTTGAAAATCGCTCTTTGGGGGCAAGCTGAGCTCAGCGGTCGATTCGGTCAAAGTTTCCTGCACAGACGCGCTCACAGACAGATTCTGGATGGAGGACATTTCGTTTGACAATTGGCCAAAGCGTCCGAAACAATCAACGCTGGAAAGATGCGACACCGCGTTACTTTGTCCAGAGTTGGCGGCTGAGAAGGAGTTGTTTGAGGCGGAATCTGATTCAGGAGCTTCGATGGACACCAGGTCCGACAGCGATTCATGGTCCGTGCTTGACGGCATGTCGAGATACGTCACTGGCACGACAGCGGCTCCATCGCTTGCATTTAGCTTGGCTACACCGTGGCCTTGTAGAATGTTTCGCCGCCTTTTACGATTTGCGTGTCGTTGCTCCTGGAATTCAAACAGGGCTGAGAGGTCCATTTGTTCGCAACTTATTATTTACTAGGTCGGATATTTGTCAGATCCACACGAACTCAAAGGGAGACGCGCATGGAGGGACGGGCGATTGAATACACCATCTCCCACTTCAACAGACTGCTCCATCTGTTACTCAGCGGTCCTCCACCGCTTACGTCGTATCAATAACAACGATAGGGAGAGCGAATGAAGGGAGAGAGGTATTGCTAAAATCATTGTTTTTATTTTGGTTTGCAGGTATCTCATGTGGCTGTCAAAAGGGAATCATTTCGAAGACTGGTATTTGGTGACGGCCTTGGTTCCCTCAGAGACAGCGTGCTTGGCCAACTCCCCAGGAAGAATCAGCCGCACACTCGTCTGGATCTCACGCGACGAGATCGTGCTGCGCTTGTTGTACGCAGCCAGCTTCGATGCCTCCCCAGCAATCCGCTCAAAAATGTCATTCACAAACGAGTTCATGATGCTCATGGCCTTGTTTGAGATTCCAGTCTCTGGATGCACCTGCTTCAGCACCTTGTAGATGTACGACGAGTACGTCTCCTTTCGCGTCTTTTTGGACTTTTTGCCCACGCCGCCTTCCTTGGTCTTTTTGGCTGCCGTCTTTGCGGGTGCTTTGCCGGCGGGTTTCTTTTCAGCGGGTGCTTTTCCTCCTTCCTTTGGTGGCATTTGCTGCGGTGGTGGTGCTGGGTAGTTGGTGTTGTAGGTAGGTGGTTGGGTCGGTGGGAAGCTGTCGCTTTTATACCTTTTTGACTGTCAAGAAATGCAACGGATGCATCTGATTGGCTGCCGCATTTTGACGCTTCCCAAAACCCAAAATGCATAAAAACCAGCGACTGCCTCCACCCACACAGCAACACAACTACCCAAAACACACACGCAAACAATGGCTGGAGGAAAAGGAAAATCATCAGGCAAGGCCAAGACTGGCGCCAAGTCACGCTCATCGCGCGCCGGACTCCAATTCCCAGTCGGTCGTATCCACCGTCTCCTGCGTAAAGGCAACTACGCACAGCGAGTGGGAGCCGGTGCACCCGTGTACCTCGCAGCAGTGCTGGAGTACCTCGGTGCCGAAATTCTTGAGCTTGCCGGCAACGCCGCCAGAGACAACAAGAAGACCCGTATCATCCCACGGCATTTGCAGCTTGCAATCCGTAACGACGAGGAGCTGAACAAATTGCTTGGGACTGTAACGATTGCACAAGGAGGAGTGCTGCCAAACATTCAGCCATCGCTGCTGCCAAAGAAGTCGGAGCTGGAAGCAATGGGCGGTGGCAAGATGGACTGAGCGTCATCCACACACGCACTGCAACATGTACTTTAAGCCGTTGATGATAATAAACAAACGTTGAAAACCGAGTGGCTGCCCATGTCTCACCCAAGAAATAACAAGAAATATTGCCTAAAAAACAAATGATATCGTCCCAGCTCCGCAGCCTCTCCGCAGTACGCCAAACAACCAGCGCAACTCTTCTCGACGCGAAGAATCTGCACAACTTTGACCTGAACCTGTCCAAGGTCGACGACGTCGTTGCTGGCGTTCTTGCTTTGATTGAGCGAGATTACGCCACACCAGCAGACATCCCCTTCCACTCGCGCTGGAGACACTTTGACGGTCCAGCGCCTGATGCAAAGAGAATTAACGCCCTCTTGGCCTCTGCGGAATGGGCATCGGTCGATCAGAAAGAGAAGGTGGCTCTTGTCCTTGGTTTTATTCCATTTGACTGAAGAATCTTGCCAGGTTCGCAGAATCATCGATCTTTTCGTTGTCTCTGTTCTTTTGGATGCCGGCGCCGGTCCAGATTGGAAATTCCGCTTCTCAGACGGCACTCAGTTGGGACGGTGAGCATTTGATCCAGTGTCTTTCATAACTTGAAAACTAATGATACTCTGCATTTGATGTAACAGATCAGAAGGACTGGCTCTTGCTTCTTTGGATTGGTTCAAGGTCGGTGGTTTCTCCGCAAACCCAACCTCAAACCCGCACCGCGTCGATAGCAGCGCTTTGAAAAAAATCTCTCCAGAATCTCTCGAAAAAGCCTTCCAAGTTTCTGCATCGAATCCGTTGGTTGGGGTGCATGGCCGATGTAGTCTTCTGACGCGTCTTGCTGACGTGCTCGAAGCGCAGCCGCGTTTCTTTCACAACAAAGAAAACAACGACTACAGACCAGGAAACTTGGTCGACTTTGTTCTCGCTGATTCACGCGTGGCTGCGCGCACTTCGGACGGGAAAATTGAAGTTCCTGTTGAAGTTCTTTGGGATGTTGTCATGGATGGTTTATCGGGCATCTGGCCGGCCACAAGAACTCAAGTTGATGGCGTTTCTTTGGGAGATGTTTGGCCCTCAAAAGCAATGGAATCTATCATGAATTCAAGCGATGCTGGCAAGACCGGGCCGATCCCACAGGCAGCGAAAGAAAAGAAAGTTTACGTCATGGCATTTCATGTAAACCCTTTTTGAGCGATGTTGCAATGTATTTTCATCTCACGTGTTTTTGGCTGCCCAGAAACTCTCGCAATGGTTGACTTACTCCCTCATGGAGCCGTTGTCACTGTTAAACATAACTTTCACCAACATGAAACTCATGACTGGATTGGCCGAATACCGCAACGGCGGTCTCTTTGTGGACATGGGTGTACTTACTCTGAAACCAGATGCATTAGCTCGTGGTATGGCATCTGCTTTGCCCACTGCCGCAAATATCCCACGCTTCGAAGTGTTCGATGACGCTGTTGTTGAATGGCGGGCCCTGACAGTCGCTTTGATGGATTTGGTCGGAAAGAAAGTTCAAACCGCCCTCAAAATGACTGAGGATGAACTGCCATTGGTGAAAGTCCTTGAAGCCGGTATCTTCCTCTTCCTTTTTTTCTTTTAACCTTTAGTTTCCATTCGTGTTGCTGTGTTTGGCTCATGACTGTATCCAGGAACATGGAAACTCGGGCGCGAAGTTGCTGCCAAGCTCAGGCCTGCAGCAAAGGGACCACCCATTGACATTATCTCGGACGGCACTGTTTTTTAAAAAGTCAAGCCGTTGAACCTGGGTGTGTGTGGAAAGCGTAATGATGTGTGTCGGGAATAAAAGAAAAGACTCTTGCGATGACATCAGTTGGACTCGAACATGCTGATCCAAGCCGAACAGAATGGTAGGATGACTGATATGTAGGTGTCAATAATCTGTCTAAAATGATAATGGTGCAGAGACTGAACAACAAGGGTTTTGTCTGAAAAAAAGATTTGTATGATCTTAATCGTTTAATAGTGGAAGAGCCACTAAGCTCCCGTAGTTCAGTTGGTTAGAACACGAGTCTTATAGGGGGACGTTCCCCTTAGCACGCTCGGGGTCGCGAGATCGAGACTCGCCGGGAGCATTTTTTCCATTTCCATTTCACCACTTTCATTCCATTTTTTTTTCATTTGTGCGGGGCAATCAACATGGGCCAATCAACTTCTGAGTGACTCTCACCTGCAAAACCGTTTGGCCGCATTGCGTGAGAGGACGTATGACTGTGGTAGCATGTTCGTGAGACACTCCTGTGAAAAGTTGCTCCCGGCGAGTCTCGATCTCGCGACCCCGAGCGTGCTAAGGGGAACGTCCCCCTATAAGACTCGTGTTCTAACCAACTGAACTACGGGAGCTTCGACACGCCAGACGAAATACAACATTATGTTGAGTGCTCACTAGTTAGAATATTACGACCTCACTGATACATACCTGGTGCATATAGCATACCATGTGACCCTGTGGACCCAGCATTACAAGTTGGCCCATGGCACCTGGCACCTAGCACTCTATGTGGACCCTGTTAGACCTTTGTCACAGATCAATACTTATAATTAGGACCAATACCACTAATTTCACAGTGTTTTTGATCATGCTTCTCTCCACCCTTCGATTTGCCTGCAATTTCTCCACTTGATGAGACTTTTATTTTGCTTTCGCTGGCAGCATGGCGGTGGTCGAAGCAAGTGCGGAGACAATGTCCAAATGGTCGCGTTTAAATCAAACACACCGGATCGGCTGACTCAGCATGCTATGTAAAGGCACAAACCGTCTTCACTTCCGAAAGTTAAATCGAATGATTCTGGAATAAATCGAATTTCGGAGTTTTGGAAGAAACCGTTTCCCTTTGTTCAGTCCAGACAACAGACACACACAACTATAACACCTGCCCGAGTCGGAGCAGCAATTATCTCCCCCCATCTGAAACCCAAGACTCAGTAACAGCGAAAGCTCGACAAAAACACGCATGGAAAACGCGCCGGAGATGCCTACCCTCGGCGACGGCATCATCACGGCCTCCCTCCCACGGCCCATATCAATCATATCCACCACCTCAGCGTCCTCCTATGAAGAAAGAGAAATCGATGACAAAAACAAACGCAAAAGTTCGACGTGGATTAGTGCCGAGGACCGCGCCGCAAGTCGAATGTCGTACCGAGCGCAGCTTGTATCGCGTACCACTACGAAAGTTTTAGACTTTGTCCGTCTGACTTGTTTGCTTGGGGCAAACAACTCGTTCCATCAGGCTTCCGGTAGAGCCAGTCTGGACTTGAGTTCCGCTGTGTCTACCATTGTCCTTGTGATTCACCAGAATGCTACCGTGCAGGAGCTGGCCGACTTGGTCACGGCTGAGCATCTGTTTGCAAGGATTTCAGAGACGGTTGGAACGAACCCTGATGACCGCGGCTTGTTTGTCCAGGAAGTGGAGCGCACGCAGCCCATTCTCATTACTCAGCTGTTTACTCCGGGAATGCTGGCGCTGGACTTTAACTCGATTGTTGGAGATGTTTTACAGTTCAATGATGTCATCACAGTGGCATACCTGGATACTGCTGGTACCTAGTTGGCGCTTTTCTTTTTGAACTATCGTTATCTCATCAGAAACTTATAATCCCGCAGTGAATCCTCCGTCGCGTGCTCCGACGATCAATTCGTTTGCCATCGGTAATACGGAAGTTCCCGCCGTTCCCAGTCTACCACCCACAAAGCCAGGCTTCGACGACAGCCTCAACACGCTCCTCTCCAACACGGAAGCTGTCGCCTACCTACAAGCCTTCTGTCTCGAAGAATACTCTGTCGAAAACCTGCTCCTGTACATGGACATTGAAGCGCTTCAAACGTGCAACGAAGATACCGTGATTGACTACTGCAAGTACATTTACTGCATGTACTTTGCGCCCAACGCGCCCATCAGCATTATCATATCACCCGACATTAAAAGCGAGATTGCAAAGAAGGTGGCCAACATTGACGACTTGGATGTGACTGTGTACGACGCGACGCAGGAACAGGTTTTGGCAACGCTACAATCGTTTTTGCATCCGCGGTTCTTGGCGAGTAAATTCTATGCTGAAATGTGTGCGGCAAGAGAAGCTGGTTCGTCAAGATCGTTTTTATTTTTATTTGTTGTTTCTTAACTAAACATTTCCAATCGCCCACGACGACAGAGCCCTTCAAATTTAGCGAGGCACGGATTCTCAGTTTCGCCACGGCTTATCCCATGGACATGAAGAGTATTAAAAAATGCTCCGAAATCATCACACACCCAACGAACCCCTCCAACCATCACCTCCTCGTCACGTCCTTCAACAATGGAAACCAAATCGACATGAACACCAACGAATGGCGCGAAGTCTTTTTGTCGCATGTTGTGAAACGGTACGACAAGGCTGGCCACAAGTACGACCCACATCAACAACGCGTTAAAGGATACTTCGACAAGACCGTGAGAAAGCGATGGGAGTTGAAACAGCGCCGAATTCAAAAGGAGAAAAAGTTGAGCAAATTCTTTGGACAGCGTGTTGGGGAGCATGAAATGAAGAGGCAGGTTGTGCGCGTCGTTAATGACGCTGGTGAGGCCTGCGATGTCTCGCCAGCAGCTGTGGTGAACCTGAAGGATATTTTGAAGGCGATTGAAGACTTGGATAACGAGTCTGGAAATATGGATGCCGTCATTCGTAGAAAAAAGATTGACAAACTGTTGAGTATTCTTTTCCAAAACGTTCATTCATTGCGATCCTCACCCGTGAACATTCAACCAGGCGAAACATTTTCGGAGACCAAATTCCAGCTGCACCCCCGTCCTTGGCACCGAGTTCAAATTCCAACGGCAGCTTAGAAAATCTGGACGATGAGCCCATCACCACCGTAAATGACTTGACACCAGCCGCCCGAAAACTCCTCAACAAACGTAACAAGAAGCTCGTTGGCATTCTGGGAGAAACGGTGGACTCGAAACATGTCGTCGGTGGCGGAGAAGTGGTTGCGGGCGGTGTGCGTCAGTCTTTGGCCTTGAATGGTCCTCCACCGTCGTTGACGCGTGCTAATATGGCGCGTCAATCGCTTGGCTTCGCAGCCACGTCCCCATCTGCAAATATGCCCCAACCAGTGTCAGCAACTCCGATACTATTCGGAGAAGTGGATGAGTTGGCTGATGACAATGAGAAGCTGGACGAGCAACAGAAGAGCGACACCAACACAATTGACCTGTCGCTTGCAGATGACGACCTCATTTCCAAAGAATCGCGCAAAAAGCGCATCGACAAGCTCAGCAAACTGTTTGGGCAACGTGTCATGAACTACACCGTTGTTGTGGGTGCAAACCAAGTCGTCAAAGTCAAGTCCTTTGAGCAAAAGATGAAAGACCGCCGCAAGAGTTCCAAACTCGAAGCCATGATGGGTGCGACCCTCACAACCCAAGAACGCCGCTCAGTGAATGCCACTCAGGCCAAGCCAAAGTCGCCGCGAATTTCAAGCGTCAAAATCGACGAGGATACCGATGAACTGATGGAAGACTCGGTCGACAGCGATGACGATTCAGCGGCAAAGCGCGTGTACCACTTCATCACGACCCTCGCGTCCACGATCCAGCATACGGTCAACGTGGACGAGCTGCTCGATTTGATTGGCTGCATCGCAAATGAAATCACGGGCAAGGTTGACTACGTGGACGACGGGCTAGATCCCGTCGCGCTCCAGGAAATCAAAGCAAAGCGCGTCATCAAAATGAAAAAGTTTTTCAAAATGTCCGGGGTCACTGTCAATGACTACATTGACACGCAGATTATTCGCGTGTTGGAAGTGCAGATCCGCATTCTTGTCACGGACAGTTTAGAACTCGACGTGCTGAAAGAGGAGGCGACTACTTTGCGCAGCATTCTTTCGAACAGGAGCACTGATTTTCAGCAGCAGATTGACCAACAGCTGGATGTGCAGGGGGGACGCAACGTTGCGGGGACACAGTCGATATTGGGCATGGGCAAGCCTGGAATGGAGAGCGAGAAGGAAGGACGAGCAGTGAACGCGCCTGGACAGCAAGGGAACCGATGAAGCGCTTGAGTGTTGTTGTTGATGGTTGTTTCTTCACTTTTTTTTGCGCTATTTGCTTTCTCCTTCAAGACCCTATTTTTATCGTCAGTCTGATTTTAAGTAAAAAGAGAAATAAAATGGCGCTTGTAGGACGGATGATGCTCGCAGGCCAGCGCCGCCAAGCGTCAACATACTTTGCAGGCGGTGCCGGCGGAGGAAGCAACGGAACTACCAGTGGGCGTGGTGGACGTGGCGCTAGTGCCGTGCTCGGATTTGTTGTGGGCGCCAGCGTGACGGGGTTCGCTGCGTACACGTCGCTGGTCGACCAGTACCGAGCATCGTCCTCGGCTGTGCTGGCATCCATCGACTCGTTGCAAGACGCCGTCAAGAAGCTCCAGCGTCATACTCAGAAGATGGATACACTCGAGAAGGACCTAAAGGCGGTTGCTGCAAAGTCTGCCTCGAATCAGAGCGTTGAAGCCTTGCGTAACGAGCTGCTCAAAGTCACGGTGAGTGGTGTCTCCCTCATTGCACAATTCCACTGCTAAAAACATTATCTGCAAACACAGGATGAAATCACGATCGCTCATTTGGAACTGAAAGCGAGCTTCACCGATCTTGCAAACGACATCAGGAGAAAATAATTCATCCGTTACCCTTGTTGACACGAAATAATCCCATCTCTTCGAGAAATAAACCGAATTCGACTGCCTTCAAACTCGATTTTATTGGCGGCAACTGCTATGGGACATGTTACATATATAATGTTTACTTCACTGAAACTATGGTCGAATTACTCGTCTCGCTTCGCCCGAAATCACTCACGCCATGAACGCGATATGCATACGAACCCCCAGCAACAACATCTCGATCCTCATAGAGAACGCTTCCACTCTCAACAGCGTCCGTTACTTCTTGTGCAAGGATTTCGAAATCCCCAATTCTTCCCCGTTCATCCACTTTTGCTCTCTGAATCGTGTAATTTCTGGCTCCGGCAGAACCACGCCACAATAAGCCCACTTGCGCAATAACATCCACATGTACAACAGCGTCCAGCATTACAGGTGGAGGGCTCGGTGCAGCCTCAAAAAATGGATTCGCTGATACTCCCCCGGCAGCCCGTGCAGATATGGCACTAAATCGGGCCATGAGCGCCATTGTTGCACTTTCATCAGCACCAAAACCTGTTTGATTCTTTTTGCCCTGCTTGAGCTCAAACCCTCCAGGCCAGTGATAACTCTTGTAATAATCTGACTCGTTATGAACGTAGAAGCCGCCATCGCGACTATGGAAACGAAGAGACCAAATAAGTGCCCCAGAACTTTTC